TGATTAATGAAATGTGCACACCATGTCCTCCAGAAAGGCAGACTTCTCCTCCACACACACACACACACACACACACACACACACGGACTCCTCTCTCCCACAGACATTTGAACATTTGGAGCCCCGCACCCTCTCCATATAAAGAGCCCGGGAAAATAAGCGAATCTCCCTGTCACGCAAGAAGAATTATTATTCCCTCCTCATATCGTCGCATGCGCCGTAATTGGATACAATTTAACACCCGCGGCCCACGGGCATGTCGGCAGGCGCACTGCCTACTATTAGCTGCTCACCTCGCCTCGCTTCACCACCCTATCATTTGTCAGATCTGTGTTTGTGTGCTCGTGGTGTGTGTGTGTGTCTCTGTGTGGGTGTGTGTGCTGCTGGAGAAACTGGAGCCATTGTTGGAGTCCGGCCATGACCTAGCTGTGACGCACAGACAGAGGAGAGGAGAGGAAGAGAGAGAGGGAGAGGGAGAGGCGGCGGCGACGGCAGTAGCAGCAGACCAGACAGTGAAAAACAAGCCAGAGCTCTGTCACCTCGAAGCCAAAGTCAGGCAGACAGGCCTGACGGCTGTTAGTCCCTGCTCTGCTCTCTGCAGTTTCCTCTCAGGCAGCTGTTTATTAGAGCCCCATCATCATCACCATCATCATCATCATCACCATCATCATCATCTTCTGAGGCTCAGGGAAAGTAAGGCCAGAGGAGGTTAATGGGGTAATTACAACCTTTAGGATTAACAAAAATTAAAGTATTTCTACTTTAGTGTGTAAATAAGTTTCTACACTGCCCTTACATTAGGAGGTCCAGCTGGGGTTTTATAGGTCATTAAAATGCCTGGGATTGGTCTCTTTGTGCCAACTTTAAGTTGGCATTCAGACTGTGTAGACAGTCTCTGTGTAGTCAAAGTCCATGTCCTCCATTTTAAAAAGGCATACCTTAAAAGTGACAGTTCAGGGTTTGGACTGAGGTTGGATATAGTGCAGTACTGCAGTACTGGGGGACGCAGTTTTAGAACTAGGTTTCCATCGTTACCTGACAAATGATGAGTGAAATAATGAAATGATTCATTTGGATTAATTAACAGATGACATAATGCAAACCACACTATTTTCAGTGGGAGCCACAACGGTAACACAGATGCACAGACTCCAGCCCACAGGTGGCAGTAATGCATCCAAAGTTTCTTGGCCAACCCTGAAGAAGATTCACAGAAAGTGACTTCAGTGAATGAGTGCGTTGTTGTGTTCAGATTATGAGAGAAGTCGTTTTCTCTCACCTCGAGAATGGACACCAGAGCTAACGTGCTAACGTTAGCAACGACACTCCTGGTACAGGCAGGCAAACGGTGTAGCTGGACAACAGCAGACCAGAGGATTAGGTTCAAATCAGTGTTAAAATAATGATTAGTTGACACTAATCCCTCAACGTAGTAGACAGGGGGTCTCAAACTGAAGCTCAGGGCCACTGCTGCCACCATCATATCCTCGGAGGGCCCCGACTGACCACAACAACTAAAAATCAGCGACATCTTAATGTATTTTACTATAAGAAATCTATTTATAAATTAGGCTCACATTTTTATTAGAGCATTCATGTACTTGGTAATCTCATTAACAGCCCATGAGCTATAGTTGCATAAAACAGCCATTCAAAGTACACAACTGCAGCCCCCAGCACACCCACAGTGACCACAGTGAATTGTTTTTGCAAAAATCAGCTTTTTAGACAACAAAGATTCAGCGGCCGTTTTTTTTTTTTTTTTTTTTGCCCAGGGCCTCTGACAGGTTAATCCTGTTTTATTCACTAAGCAGTTAATATAAACACTTTAAAGGAACAATTAAAGGTAACTGAAATGTGCAGTAATTTCCACTGCCTTTAAGTCTGTGAACAGCGTACAATAAGCACGGAAACTTCGGTCATTAAAAAAAGGAGCATATAAATGAAGTGAATGGTAACACAAGTAAAACAAAAGGATTTAATAAGGAGCTGTAGCCATACATTTTGCTCCAAATTGATAGCGAGTCAAACAGTGAAGAAACGTCACCATAGGTTGTTTTTGGAATTACACCTTTCTGGGGGAGGAGGGCGATAGAGTCAGTCCCAGGAGTTGAAGGGTAAAGATGGAGGGTAAAGACAACCTATACACACCTGGAGAAAAAAAATGCAAAGTCCATACAGAAAGACCAAGGTACGTCTGCTGACTCCTGATCATTTAACTAAACTAACATTTCAGTTCCGTTCATGTTGACCTATGAACGGAACTGAAATGTTAGTTTATTAGGGGGAGGGCTTGGGCTGGGGGGGGGGTGTCAAACCTGCAATCTTCTGATAAAAACTCCACAGTTTACTTGGCAAACGTCAACCTACAACCTGTTTTCAAACTGTTGACTCTATGGTTGATGATTGTTCTGCTCACTCAGCCACAGCTACACGTGTCCATATGATGTAGATGTACAGTATATACTGAGAGAGACGGAACAGATGTAGGGCTCATTGTTGTTGTTGTTGTTATAGACTACATTCACGTTTATTTGCCGACTGCCCTCTCAGAAAGGGAGCTGGAGCAGCCTAGAGTCGCGACCCAGTCTCTGAGAATGACTGTTCCGGAAGATGGTGTATTTAATGTCCGGTTTCTCTTCATATCAGCTCTGCTGCCGCTGCTGCTGCTGCTCCCTGGGCTTATCTGAGAGCAGGAGCGAGCGGAGCCCGAAGCGCTGCGATCCAGACCCTAACGGGTTAAACTAATCTCTCTGCCTCTCTCGCTCGCTCGCTCGCTCTCTCTCTCTTTCCACACACACACGTACACACACACATAGAAGCTGCCACCGCCCCAGATAACAGAGGGGCGCCTCTCCGCAGCCAGCCAGCCTCCGCTAATCGCAGTGGCAGGGGGAGGAGGAGGAGGAGGAGGGGGAGAGTGGAGGAGCGGTGTGGTAGAGAGAGAGAGAGACAGCGAGAGGCAGAGAGAGAGAGCCGGCGGCCTCTCACTGCGCTGGGCTTTTATTGACGCTGTGTGTGTGCGCGTGTGCGTGCGGATACGTGCACGCACAAAGCTGTGTGTCTGTGCGTCAGAGCGAGAGAGAGTTATAAAGAGCGGTGTGTGTGTGTGTGTGTCGCCGCCAGCAGCGGAAAGCAGGGAGAGGCGGGGAAGTGGGAGGCTGGGTGGTGAGGTTATGAGCGGAACTCGACAGAGGCGGACAGACGAGAGAGAACGAGGGAGGGGGAGGAGGGGCGGGGGGTGCGGGGAGGAGGAAGGAGGGGTGAAGCTGCTCTCTCCCCGTCTCTCTCTGTCTCGCTGCTTCCTCTCCCAGTCTCAGATAAGCCTCGGTTTGAAGGTTTCTCGCTCTCTCTCTCTCTCTTTCTCTCTCTCCCTCTCTCCTTCCGCAGGGTCGTGGTTATTTTTTAAGAGGATGTGAGAGCAGGAGATGAAAAGCCGTTTATGATCCCCCAAGGTCGGACTGAGACAAGAGTGTGACTGATCTCGTCGCTTATTTTGTTTTACGGCCTCCCTCGCTGATTGATTGCATCGATGAATTTAGCGGCCCCTATTGATTGGAGCTTAATCTATCGCTCCATGTCCCTCAGTGCTTCAATAACTGCCCTCCCTGCCCCTCCACCCCCAC